AATCCAACACTGAACCAGTTTCACGAAACTTAGCAAGCAGTTTGCTGACTGTAGCATGGGAGATGGGTGGTCTCGTAGGGTGTCTTGCATTGAAATCTGCTGCAATGACCCGGTTACTGTGTTCACCAGATATCAACACAATTTCGATCCGCTCCTCACGTGTTAACCTCTTTGACATGTCAAAGAGGTTAACACGTGAACAAAGAGAAACTTGTAAATAACCCATGAAATAATAAAGTTTCGTTGAAACCAAGCACACCATTGTTTTTCTTGTGACATTACCAATAAGTTTGATGTGTCACATGGCCCTCTTCCTATTGGAAAAACAAAAGTTGTATCCAAGATGGCCAACTTCTAAATGGCCACCATGGTCACCACCCATCTGGAGGAGTTTGCCCCCTCACATATACTAATGTGCCACAAACAGGACTTTAATATCACCACCCATTCCCATGTTATTACGGTGTATCCATATAAATAGCCCACCTGGTAGATAAGAGCCTCTAGGAGCCTAAGATGTGCCTATGTGCCAAGCTTGGCAGCTCAACTCATCACGGTCTAGGAAGAGTTGGCAGTCAACGAAACAAACTCACAGACAGAGATTTCCTGTTTCATAATAAAATGGTACCAACCCAAACAGCCAGAGAGATCTCCTATTCCTTATTGCTCATATTCAGACTTATTAAATTCATTACTTTGTTGTCATGGACAACAACTTTAACAAAGCTATTAAGATGCACAGGCTCTACTCCCATTATTGGTAAAAGACCAAAGTCAGAACAAGACAAACTGTTGATTAATGAACTCAGAGTTCAGATATCCATTAAGCTCTTTTTTTTCGTTTCTTAAAGCCTTTGAACGAATCTACTGCCTGGACTTGCTGAATAATTTTCAGCTGACAGACAATTCTGGTGTATTTGTTATTATTCTGAAGATGTGCGGATTCAAAAGTATCAAACTACCATGAACAAGATGTTGCTTTGAAATAGAGAAAACATTCAGTCAAAAGATTAGACCACATGTATTAAGCACTGTTAAGGGAGATGGACTGCTGTTGCGGTACTTCCACCTTAAAAGCAGTACTGAGCAAAGCAATTCAAGTGCAACAACTCTTACAATCACTTACAATAAGCGTGATTAGGAGGTTAATGAGGGAAAACTCTTACACCGTAGATTTCTTATATTTTCTGTGTGTGGATATTAAAAAGACATTATTAAGTACTTTAGTTTATAATGACTAATAAATAAGGTCTGACAGTATTGGTTCTGCTCATGAAGCTGTAGAAATCATGTTACTTTTGTTTTTTTACCCTTCACAATCTAGAACAGAGATTTATCTCAGCTTGTGTGTGAGGAGAAAGGGGCAGGTGTCTCTGTTTAAGAGACCCCAGGTAGTTGAAGGATTAAATAGACAGCTGATTCAGATTACAGGCACAGTCTGAAGTAATTAGAGCATCATGTGAAGGGTGATTTAGATATCAGTTATATGATTAGCTTTTTTGAATTGTAACAAGTCTATTTTATCTCAATAATTCTAATTTACAGATATGAGAAATGAGCAAATAAAGCATTGTTAGTTAGTTGGTTTGTTTTTTGTTTTTTAATAAGAGAAGCTTATAAGCTGATAAATTGTGTTGATAAGATGAGAAGGTCTGTTTTGTTTTCCCTGAAAGTTGGTGCAGCGTTAGATGAAAACCCTCGCTGTCTGTCCTGCTTTGCCCTCACTTCTTATCATCCTCCTCCCTTTCTGCTGACATTTTTCAGCTTTTCATACTCCCTGCTGTGCCTCGCTGGCTATGCCAGTGTTGTCATCCCATTGAGTTTCTATCTGCCTCTTCTCTGCCACCATCTGTTTCTGTCCTCTGCCTCTCTGTTGTCTCCCTCTTCCTCCCTGCTTGCTTTACCTCTCTGTCCCCTCTTTTCTCTCCATCTGTCTTTATTTTTCATCACCTCTGGATTGTCTGTACTCTACTTTTTCTTTGGTCTCTCAACATTTTTTTTGGCTCTCTGGTGCTGGGTTTTCTTTCTCTGTGTGTAATGCTTCTTCCCTGCATCCCCCTTTTCTCCCTTGTATTTTTTATACCATGTGATCAATTCCTTTGCCAGTTAGTGTTTGCTAATCCATGGCCTCAGTGCTCATCTATTTTTTCCTCTTTCTCCTCCTTACATAAACCCATTACAAGTCTCTGTAATACACAGAACCCCTCTTGCTTTCTTTGTGCAGACACTTTAACGCATGTGTAAATGTTTAAGCCTGATTCTGTTGCGCACTATCAGTTTTAACCAGATATTTATTTTCTCTCTTCCTCTCTCCGTCCCACAGAGTGATCATGCATAACTTAAAAAGTGTGAATGGAATGACATATTTTACTATCACAAAACCAGCCAAATGCTGTAATCCCATCTCTGTTTCTTATGAGCTGCAATGAAACACTTTCCCACAGCTAAGACAGCTGCATACAAACTTCCCTCCCACACCTCCCCACCTCTTTTCTTGTTGTCAGACATATAAGAACTAGGTCAGTAGGATGTTTGGCATCCCACATATACCCCATAAACATTCATAGACACACACATACTGCCGCTGACTAACAGCAGGGAACATGTGTCTTGTATCCCCATAACATAGCCGTCACTCCAGCACAACCTGCCTAATTAGTCCCACAGAGTGTGTACACACTGTCGACAATCAGCTAGTCTGTCTCTTATGTTGGTGCGTGGGCGTCTGCTCGAGTCAGCTTGTTGCACATTTGATGTCTTTAAAGATACTCTGGAGTTTCTTCCCCGAGTATGACATGCACTGTGTATAATGATGACCTGCAGTTTTTAAAACAGCGAAGCACTTGAAGCTTCTCATAGATATGGAAGTGCTAGATGTCCCCCACCTTTTCTCTAACAAATCTCACAAATCATTTTTAACTTATGTTCATGCACAGCAACAATCGCAGCATAAAATCCACCTATTCACACATAATTCATCAACATCCACATAATCATGACAGAAGTGGGGGTTTTTGTCTTATTGTGGGACTTTTATTTACTTGTTTGTAGCAAAATAATCAGAACCACGGTTTTTCTTCTTGAATCAAAGAAGAGCAGTGATTATTTTTATTGACGGAACAATGCAGTCTGTCCTCAGCTGTGTGTCCAGATCCATTCTTGCTATTGCTTACACAGCGTATATGAATATATGTGAATTTATATAAACATATGCGCTTTCCCCCTATATTTCCCTATAAATTTTGAGTAACTTTGTTTGTTGTTTTCATTCACCAGGGAGTGCTGTGTCCCTGAGTCAACACACTGCATTCTGGGATAGTCTGGAACCCTCTCCATGGGCTGTACCACCTGCTGACACACCTGGGGGCTCTGGAGGGGTTGTGTTGAATGAGGTAAAATTGTCTTTGCATTGATACCATGGTGAAAATTATTTTTTAAAAAGCATCTTCTGTTCTTTGCTATGTAATCTAGTTTCGTCTGTGCACGGCGACCCGCTGCGTATCGTGTTTTTAAGTTGCTAGAACTCAGGTTGTGCTTGACAACCTAGGACACAGTAGTTGGCTCATTACTGCTGAATCACAACTGACAAACTGCTATCACATTGTTATTTCAACCTAAAAGCTGTTAGTCTGCCATGGTTAATTTGATGTTATTAGTTCTGGCATCAAGGACTTTTCCAGATCAGTGTTTTCTCTTTGACTAAGAGTCCAGTTTTGCAATAAACCTGACATTCCAACTGCTGCACAGATGCGTGTTTAGCAAGGTTCAAATCAGCGACTTCTACATGTAAAAAACAACACACCAAAAACCACCTTTCATATGTGAGGTAAATGTACGGCTTGAGAAGGAATTGTTTGGTTTACAGCTTTGTTTGCATTGCATATGTATTATTAATGTTTTTCTTTCAGTATCTGCTATCTAATATTTCTCTACAAATAGAGCTGCTGTTCTTCACATTTCTTGAAAAGCACAGACTACAACTGCTTTGATTTTCTCTGAATTACTCACTGCGAAAGTGCTGTCTTTTTGTGGTAATATCGATCCCCAAAGGGGAAATTCTGTTTCGCTTCCTACCCTTACCGCAGGGAAGTAAGATGGCAGGGTCAGCTACAGAATAGCACCTTTGGAGCTGCTGCCGATTATCTCACTCACAGACATTTCAGTGAGGTCAAGGATTTGAACTCGGGTCTTCTGTTTGATGGATAGCCTCTCAGCTCACTATAAGCTGTTTTCCCAGTGAGTCACAAGGAGAGAAACAAGTTTTAAAGTAGAATATTTTAACTCCTTTTAAGCCTAGCTTTGGTAATCACATCTAGTAGAGATGCTTAAACACTGGTTTGAAGACAAAAAAAGTGAGCTGTACTGTCAGTAAGGCTGGTTCTTATACAGTATGTCATTGCTTTTTCTTTTTCTTTTTTTGGAGTAGAAAACATGTTCCTGCCTGTTTTTGTGATGCAGTGGCAGTAAGGGAATGCACTGTGGTCCACATCTCTATCCACCAGTTTACTGCTGCCTCAAAAAAATAAGAAAGAAAAAAAAAATCACATATACTGTAAGTACACATCCACGGAGAGAACAACAAACCCATTTACCCCACAGGGAGCAGCCAGCACGGCAGTTTCACTGCCTCTCTATGCTTTTGTATGTCTCTGTCTTCCTGCCTCCCTAACCCCCCCCCCCCCCCCCCTCCTTCCTTGAGTTAATTGAAACTCAAATAAATGAAGATTTATTAGCGTCATATTGATCAAAACATATTGTGTCCTAAAAAACGTCTCACTGCACTGCTTGTTGAAGAGTACAAATATGAATTTAGAAAATGTCCCTTTTCTTCTTCTTTTTCTGTAACGGTGTTGAAGTGCACACGGCTGTTATTTCCTCCTTCACACTATCACCCTTCTTGTCAAATCCAAACAGTAAAAATGTGTGAGTGCTCGTGAGTGTGGGTGAGAGAGAGTAAAGCAGAGAGACAGAGAGAGAGAGTGTCGGTGCTATTCTTGGCTGGTTGGGGAAGTCTTGGCTCCCTGGCGTATGGGAAAAGGGCTCTTGGCAAGTCTCGAACCGAGGCATTCCATTATGCTGTCCCCTTGAAACACACACAGACATGCAAACTTGTTTTTGCCACTTAAAAGGACGTCGCATTCACCAAAACTTACTCAAAGGAGATTTTAACCATAATCACTATGTGCTAAATCCAAATCGTTACATTCACAAAACATTAAGAATTTACCCTAAAATGTGATGGTTTACATTTCAGTTGTAGAAACACACCAGTAGCTTTCTAGTACTAGTACTTTATGCCCCGAGGCTCAAAGCTAGTTTCACTGTCACTCAGTTGCGCACACACGCAGACAGCATTCAGCACTCAGCACAATATCCTTCGAATCAATTGCCTAAGGAGTGGGAGGCTGTCTGCATGGCTTCTATCAGCTAATAGATCTCTCAACAGCCCTTTCTCTCTACCTCTGTTACTCGCTCTCTTTGTCCGTCTCACTGCAGCGCAAGTACAAGGTGACATCACTGTCTCGTTCACCGTCTCTCTTATCTTCTTTCTGCTTCGCCATCATTTACTTGTACTTTAATCCCGCTCCCCCACTCCTGGTCCCGGTGTCCATCTCTCCTGCCCTCTTTTTTTTTTTTTTTTTTTTTTTTTTTTACCCTCTTCTCTCTGTCCCTCCCTCTGTTTCTCTACCACTGCAAAGGCTTACATAACTGCAGTCAAACCCTCTGGTGTTCCAGGCAGAGATTGGGTTTGGCGTTGAAATGGGGTCATGGTCAGAGGGTGTTGTGTCTCAGGAGGACACGTACGACCATCCTGAAGGCAATTTGTGAGTGTTTGAGTGTGCGTGTGAGACTGGGGTTAGGGGGAGTCCCAATAAAGATAGTAAAACAAGGGTGTGTGTCTTTCTAAAACACGAGACAGCTGCATGCATACGGAAGCATATTGCACAGAAATAAGCTTGTTTTGCTAACTGCACACAATTTGCTGGTCTTTCAGTTTGTGTGTGTTTGTGTGTGTGAATAAAAACAAACCGAGAATAATGATGTTAAAAGAAAGTGACAGATTAGTTGGGAAAGTGAAGCAAGCAGTGACAAGCCTGTGTGGTCAGTCTGTCTGTTTCCTTTTTGTCATTCTAGCTTCAAAGTCTGAAGCAGTGGGAATGTTGGAGTGAACCAAATCCAACTCACTGTTTGTGCATACTTGAAGCTTTTTTCTTTACCACAATCTCTAAATATAAATTGCTTTGTCAGGTCAGGCGAAGTTGGAAAAATGAGATTGAAGCACTAACATAAACTTCAGTTATGGTATTTCTAGTGTAAGCTAGAAAGTCAAAGTAATTCTTTGGCTCGTATTATCAGCCAAGACGTTGTATATATAGCTGGGGAACAAATTGAAGGCCAGAAAAACCACATAAAGTACGTTGGCATGGTGCTTAAGGTCACTACAGCCCATCAGAACAACTTCAGTGTAGTGGTGTTTTGAAGATGGTGGTGGAAAGTGTTGCCTAAACACACAGTCGCATTTAAGAAATCTTGAAATGCCGTAGTTCCTTATCAACAAATAGGCAGAAATTGAAGCAGCCTTTAGAGTTTACACATGTAAAGACTTCCATTTCTTTGTTATGTGTGTCCATTGATGAAATCAATCAGTCCTGTGAGGTCTTTTCTTTGGAAAATGTTGAAATACAGTTACCCGCTAACTGCATGCTTTCTGTCTTAGTGAGAAAGTTTCCATCTTTATTTGTCTACGCACATATAACATTTAAAATGCAGCTTTATTTTCTGTTGCAGTATTTTCAGTTGATCACAGATTTGGAAAATAAAATATTATCCCTTTGTTACCAGCACAGAAAACCTTATTCCCTTCTGGGAGACTGAGAGGACAGAGCACAGCTATTTTCCATACTGTGCAGGGTAACATGAATGGAGGGATGTATGGATTTGTATGCTACGTTAAACTCTATTCTTTTCATCACACAAATTTTAGCCTCACAAGCAGGGATGCTGCTGGGCAGCATGCAGACACCTGTGGAGCGTGGAGCCTTTGTGTTTGTGAGAGTCTGCCTGTGGAATTTGTTTGTTTGGATGATTGCTGAGTACTGTACTGGCTCTGGTGTGCGCTGCACGTGTGTCCTGTTGAGTCTCAGGAGTGTTGGATGTGTGTTTGTGTAGAGCAGAGGACTTTGATGAATGTGTGCTCAAGCAGTGGCGCTGCCGCTCTGACATTTTTGTCCGTGTGCCTTTGAAAAGGTGGAACGCATTATTCATAGACAAGGACACATGCTGAGCAGCCGCTCACCTCTCCTTCATCCACAAAAGGCCTGCTGCCATGCCCATTCATGCCAATTAGTGCCAGTCTGCCTGTCTGTGTCCATTACAGCGGGCAGTTCACCTTCAGCGAACACAGCAGTATGGTTCTCTGTCCTAGATGTCGACACATGCAGCGACCATCCTAAAATCTGAGTGAATTCTTTTTTTTTTCTGTCAAGGAGGGAAAAAAATAAAGTGTATGTGCACTGACAAACAAATCCAGCCACATTATGTATTAATATTTGTCTGCTCAGCCATTCTGTTTAGTGCTGTGATCTCTGCAGCACCTCAGACTCGCGCACATGCACCTGTCAGCATAGTTCTCAGCCTGACATCAGATTTTGAAAGCTCTTACTCATGTCAGCGGAGTCTGATTTTTTTTTTCTTTTTCTTTTCTTTTTCGCATTTCTCCCACTTATATGAACAAATCATCAGATAAACATGGGCATCGCAAATTGACTTTTTGTGTGAAAAATGGAATGGAAGGAAGGAAATCGGTTTAATAAGAAAAACTCTGTCAGTCACACTCTACATATGTTACATTGTAGGAGATAATAAAAGAATTATAGAGCATAACTTTCTTCCCATCCAATTGGAAAATCTTATTTAGGGTGAGCTACTAAAATTCTTTATAGGTGCTGTTCACCTGCAAGCTACTTCTCAACCCACCTCCACTTCAGCTCTACAAAGTACAAAGCTTACCTGATGTATCTGACTAAAACACGCCTGCCACTGATTTGCTGTTGCTCTCCCCACCTAATGATTTGAATGTGTGCGGACAGAAGGGAGGGAATGCCCCCAGAACAGTGCCATATTGGCAAATTACTGCATCAGCTTTAACTATAGTGGTTCTGACTGAAAATTTTAATATGGGAAATTTTTTATTCTTTTCATCTTGAGTTTGATACCAGTAGAAGTACTAGTACAGGCCTATGGTACTTAGTGCATGATGTGTTGTTAGGTGGTTTCTAGGCAAAATACTGTCATCATAATACCATGCTCATTTAAAGTTTTGTGATAATAAATTTTATGTTTTTGTAATGAAATTAAAATTATTCTATGCTTTATAAGGCGCTTTGGATGA